AAAAGCATCAATAAGTGCAACTCAAGTAGATGAGCCCCTCACGTATTCAAAAGATGAAAACAAAATTTCCCACCTCATTAGATTACAAGTTTGTTATATAAAACTTAATATCTCAGTTAGAGGGAGTCAACCATCACCACTCTTCTTTCTTTCGTTTCATTTCCAGATCCAATCGTCAATAAGCTCTACAGCAAATAGAAACTCGTTTGTATTCTCTATAGATTGGCTGGCTACCCCGAAAGATATAAAAGATGCAACATGCGAATCCTACTAGGAAAAAAAAAAAGTTTCCAACTTCAACAAATATTCAGTTTTTGAGTCGTTGCTTCCTATAATCCTGAGAAACAGAATTCTAATAACATTACTCATCGATTTCTATTTCACGAATTCCCCCAACAATTAGAAAGAATTTATTTGAATCGAAATGCTCGGATAAGCCTAGACATCTGTCTGTTTATTAAGTCTAAGAATAATTATAATAAATTCTTCAAATAATTTATAAGCAATCAAACATAAAAAAGAAAACTTAAAATGAAAAAGCTTACCCGCTCACCGGCAAAAGCGCCGGCGATGACGAAGGTAACGTAGATGGAGTTACGGCGCATAATCAACTTGTAGAGACCTTCGAACACGCCTCCTCCATTTCTCCGTGCTGTGTAATCCATCTCTTTTCCTCTTTCAAGATCCACTCACTTTTTAGGCCAAATCACAAAATTCCAATTTACTCCGCAAATAAATAAAATTAAACAAATGATCGGATATATGAAAAAACATATTATTAATACCTCAGAAAAAAACTAAATCGGGAGAGTCAGCAGCACCCACGTTCGACTTTGACGGCTGAGTCGGAGAAATGAGGAAGAGGTGAAGGAGGAGGAAACGAGATTAATTAATCAAAGATGGGCCTGGTGGTGCTGTTATACAGTCTGCGAAGTCGTTTCGGCTATCGACATTTATATGGGGCGAAAGTAGATTAGAAAGTAATCATGTAAATCATGGGCCTTAACAAAGCCTATGAAATTGGCCTGGTTGTGCTGCTATACTGTCTACGACGTCGTGTTTTCCACCAAGATTTATATGGACCAACTGTAGATTAGAAAGTGAACAGTGGGCCGGAATAAAGCCTATGAACTTGCCCTTCAACCGACAAACCTAACAGAGGCAGCTGAAACGCACTTTTCTTTCCCCCACTTTTCTCTTGAAAAACCCTAACTCCTTCCTCGCGGCAAGCTACATATAAAAACCCTTTAAACCCTTCCTCGTCTCCGCCTCTTTCATTCTCATAGCTCCCACCCAGAGCCTCTCTCAATTTCAAAGCCCAAAACCCTTTAAACCCTCTCCTCTCATTAAACATGTCGTCCATGGAGTTCTGGGGTAAGCAGCTCCTTACTCTTCTTGTTATTAGAATTAAGATAGTTCCATTTTTTTTCAGCTTTCACTCTCTTTGATTCTGTACTTTGACTAGTTTAATGTTTAAGTGTTTTTAATGTTCTTTTTCCTGATTTTATTCTAAATATTTACATCCCCTTCTTATGTATTATGTCAGCGGTTGTTTATTCCTTTTCCTTCCGTGTTCCTTTATGTCGTTGTTTAGAGCTTTTTTTTCCAATGTTTTTTTATGGACTGTTCTGTATGGAGTTAGGTTATCTTGGACGTGTATTTTCTGTATGGTTTTGTTTTTTTTTCTGTTTTGTAGCTTGAAGGGGTGTGATTTTGTTTTTGTAAACAGATACATTTCTGAATGTGTTTGTGTGTGTGGTATGGTAATAGAAGGAAACTAAGGAAGAGGAAAGACAAGCATAATGCTATTAGTGTTTGTGTAGCTAATAACTATGGTTTAGCTCTTACTGTTATCATTATTTTCGTACTAGGTTTTTTGCTTTGTGAGTTTCAGAATGGGTTGGAGTTAGATTGCTTGTCAGATTATTCCATTTTTGTTGGATTTTCTCTAATTGCCTTAATTGTGTGCTTTGATGAACCACGATAATTACTAGCATAAGTAATAACATCTTATGCAAGTGGGTTTTATTTTTTAAATGCGTGGTGTGGCGTGTTTAGTGCATGCTTGTACATCTAATAGGAATTCTTGTTTCTATTTAAGTGTTAGTTGTTATGTAATTGGTGGTTAGCATTGGTGTTATTTTTGTTTTACTGATGCTCCATAATTTTGATTATTTTATTAGGTGTTGAAGTCAAGGCTGGTGAGCCTCTTAAAGTGGAACCTAAAGATTTCTATATGATACATCTTTCTCAGGTTAGATTTATCATAATTGAAGTATTAAACTGGTGCTGTCTTTTCTGATGTTAGGTTTTTTGTCTGACTAAATGTTTATATGGCCTTTTGTTCCTCAGGCAGCCCTTGGTGAGTCTTCAAAGAAAGGAAACGAATCAGTTCCTCTTTTCCTAAAGTTCGATGAAAAGAAGCTTGTGTTGGGAACCCTATCTCCTGATAAGATCCCTCAATTGTCCTTTGATTTAGTTTTTGAGAGAGAGTTCGAGCTCTCTCACAACTGGAAAAATGGGAGTGTTTTCTTCTGTGGCTACCAAGCTGCTATTCCTGAAAATGATGATTCTGGTGAGTCCTGATATATGCTAGTTGCAATATGCCATTTCTAACTTTATTTTGCAAAATTTGCTGAGCTTATTTATGCATTCAGATTTCTCTGATGATGGAGATGAAATCCCATTTGAGAAAGTGGAGAATGTGAAGTTTGCTACTGGTACAGATAAAGCTGCAAAGCCTGAAAAACCAAAGGCTAATCCTGTAGCGCCGAGCAAAGATGATGAATCCGACGAGGATGATTCTGATGACGATTCTGATGAGGATGATTCAGACGATGGATCCGAGGTTGAGACATCTCCTTCTTGTAACAAAATGACATGAATCTTATTATATATCTTGTTCCCATAAAACAGGAAACTAGCATGATGAAGCTTTTCCCAGGTTGATTACGTATATGTATGTTGTCATTTCTGGAAGGAATTGTTTGGTTGTTTCTGCATTAATGTTTGTTCAAGTAACCTAATTATCCTCCAATAGAATGATATAATATGGCATCTTCTGTCTTTTCTTCTTTATTCCCCTATCTTCTGGTTTCTGAATCATTGATCAAGTTTGTTGCAGGGTATGTCTATTGAAGAAGATTTGGATGATGAATCCGATAGTGAAGATGAAGAGACTCCTAAGAAGGTATCAGTTCTCGGTTGATTTGCAATTTAGATGAAATGTGATACCCAGTTTTCTTACCATGTTTTTAATTTACTCTGTTGTGAAGGCTGAGCAAAGCAAGAAGAGGACCAATGACTCTGCAATAAAGACACCAGTGTCCTCAAAGAAAGCTAAAACAGCTACCCCTCAGAAGACAGGTATTTTTTAGTCTTCTTGTTCTATCAACTCTTCTGAAGCATGGGTGGTGTGAATGATTTTCTTTGTTGTGTCTTGATCAAAGATGGTGGGAAGGCTGGGCAAGTAACTCCCCACCCTGCAAAGGGAAAAGCTCCATCAAATGGCAACAACCCCAAGACCCCAAAATCCGGTGGCAATTTCTCCTGCAAATCCTGTGAAAGGTAGGTGCTTCTGCAACATTCTAGATAAAGAAGTCCCACTGGCGACATCTAGACCGACTGACTGCTTATATTTCTTACTCAGGTCATTTGGCTCTGATGGTGCTCTGAAGTCGCACTCACAAGCCAAGCATGGTGGCAAGTGAATTACCTATATTTAAAGCACCATCAGGGTTTTGGCACTCATCTCTGGAGTAAATGAGAGGTTTATGTTAGCAACTCGTCTGTAATGTTGTTAGAGGTCTACATTTAAAGAAATGTCTGTCGGATGCATTGCCATTTTGAGTTTATGGAAACCGTTGCGATGTTTGACCACTACATGGTTCTGTTCAGATTACAATTCCTATGTTGTTTTGTTTGCTCTTAAAATCATTTTAGAAATTCAAGCATGCTGTAAACATCTTGTTGTTGAGGCGCTCATGAGGGAGCACTATTCCGGAAGGCACAGATTGGAAACTTGAACGTCCCCTAATCTCTAAAGCTCCTCTACAAGCGTGCAAGTTATGTCCACGCAATGGTGACCTGTTTAAAAGATGACTGATTTTTGAATGTGTTTTTTACACGCAAGGATGACCTGTTTCGTAAAAAAATAAAAGGTTTTGTAACATCATCTTTTCCGCATGTCCATTCTAGTCATCAAAAAAAAAAACCGTGTTTTCGCCGCTGCGGGGACTGGAATAGCCCCGGGGGCTTTAAAGTTTAAATGCCCTCCCGGTGAAAGCATCACAGGGCGCGAGTTCCATCCGTTGACGCCAGCTCCCCTAGCTTGTCTTAAGGCATGCTAAAATGAAGGGGGAAATTCAAGGAAAAGCTCCCTTCCACAATTCATTTTGGCCCTAAATGTGTTTTTTCCGCGCAAGGGTGACCTGTTTCGTAAAGAAATAAAAGGTTTTGTAACATCTTTTCCGCATGTCCATTCTAGTCATCAGAAAAAACCGTGTTTTCGCCGCCGCGGGGACTGGAATTGCCCCGAGGGCTTTGAAGTTTAAATGTCGTCCCCTGTGATCACAGGGCTCGAGTTCCATCCGTTGACGCCAGCTCCCCTAAAAAAAAAACCGTGTTTTCGCCGCTGCGGGGACTGGAATAGCCCCGGGGGCTTTAAAGTTTAAATGCCCTCCCGGTGAAAGCATCACAGGGCGCGAGTTCCATCCGTTGACGCCAGCTCCCCTAGCTTATCTTAAGGCATGCTAAAATGAAGGGGAAAATTCAAGGAAAAGCTCCCTTCCACAATTCATTTTGGCCCTTCTGCATTTCGCAGTTGAAACAAAAGAAAGAACCAGAAATTAGATTTTTACTTTACAACACACTTAGCTGTCTTTTCTGGCATCCAAAATAAAGAATCCGCGGTACATATTACATAATTAATCCATTGCCAAACAAAATACAAACAACCCATCCAAATATGGCAAGGATATGAAGAAAGTGGCAATATGAGGTAATCGACAGCATTTCGCATGGTAATAACTAACCAGCTACGTTCACAACAAATTAAAACTCCCTGGAAAAGAGGGAGATTACCTTGTCCACATATTGCACAAGCCATTTATGTCAAAATATCAAATTGTCTAACATGGCAAGAGGCAGGGAAACAAGCAGGGGCTGTCACAACATGGCAGTCGTATCACTAATAATGCTAAATGACTTAATGAGCCGTTATACAATCAATCTGCTCCTGGATGCTTTTGAACAGCAGCCTGACAAATCCTGTAAAACCAATCCTCTGATATTGCACCCGATGACCTGTACAGAAATTTCATGGTAAGCTGCAGTTAAAATAGTGGCTTGTCTCGATGAAGCAGGGATACCTGAACCTGCAAAACTCATAAAGATGTTGAGATCACTTTATTTTGCTAAAATAAAAATGGGAAAGGAGAGTTCAAGAAGCAAAACCCAACATAGAACCGTGAAATTTGATGGTGCGCTAGCCTGAATATGCTGTAGTCAGAATCCTGGACTGTATTGCATACACACACTGAGAACACAAACTTCAAATGCAGCAAAACAGTTCTAAGTTTAAATTTCTAGTTTTGATAAGAAAACCACACCAGCCATGGCATTAGCCTATAGTACAGACCATTACTAGTTACTTGTTAACAATAAATCTGGTGGATTACCCAAGAATTCTGAGTGGACAACAAAATTTGCAAAACATTTCATCACTATAGACACCTGGCACAAAGGGAAAGTTGGAATGAATAATTCTGTTATTGAAATCTTTTCAATGTCGATTTTAAGAATCCAGATGGAATTGAGAGTCAAAAACATTCAAGCCCGTCATGCAATGAAGTGCACAGTCAAGCAGAGTGGATGCAACTAATAGATAAAGAAAAAAAAATTCCATATGACAATTGTGAACCTGCACACCCCCTGCACAGTAGAAACGGGCTGTAAGCTATATTTATTCAATGTTCGGTCCTTCGCTGGAAAGGAACATCCTAATTGAGCAGGTGGAATATGAAAATGATTAGAGTAGAGAGAAAACAAGCCAGGCACCTAAAGGAGATCAGTATGCATATTCTCCTTGCTGCGGTGATATGTTCTGCTGATATTTTTGACCACTGCCATTTTGCATTTGCCCTTTGTCATTGTTGCTGCTGTCAGCATTGACATTATTATTGGCTGTTTCTTCCTGCTGCTCCCTTTCCCTATTCCATTGTGCAATTTTAGCACGCCTCTCCTCACTGCCTTCCCTAACTGGGCTTCGTTTACGCCTACCCCCAGGGCTTCTACTTCGTCCCTTCCGATGTCCAGGGCTTGTACTCCTATGCCTCCTGCTCCGACTTTCATAATAGTGCTCCCGATCATCATATCTGCGACCAGAACCATGCCCACTATGCGAATGCTCTTCATGGCTCCGATGTCTATAGGGGCTCCTGCTCCTGCTTCGGCTGTGGCTACGCCTTTGTCGGTAACTCCCAAATAACTGACGCCTCAACTCCCTAAAATCAAACAAAATAAGACAGTAAAATAAACACAAACCCAAAACAATTCCATGCATTCAGACACCTCAAACAAAACAAAAAAATAAACATCAATCATTACCTGCCGATTCTTTTAAGGTGCATAAAATTGCAGTACCCGCCACGATTACATGCATTCTCCTCATATTGCCTACACGTGGCTTCTCGGAAATCAGTCACAGGCGAGAAATCCACAATAATAGGACGACCTGCACCCATTGACAATCACATCAACAAAATGTAATTACACGCAATTAACTTGGGAATACAAAAAAAAAAAAAAATCATATGTAAAAGTGAAATATGAGCATAAAAATAACAGAAAAGAGAAGCAGAATCTGACCGGCATAAAACCTCCCAGTCAAATTCTTAAGCGCATTCGAAGCGTGCTCTTCCTCTCTAAACTGAACATAAACATTACCGACCTATGGAAGCACATAAAAATGATTCCTGAAATATCCAAGCAGAAATACGAAATTGTCCTTTCCAGTTCAAGGAAACATACCATGTGGTCAGCAAGATTGTCACAGACATTCAGGCTCTCAATTTCCCCGTATTTTCTTAGCTCCTCAAATAAATCCTCATAAAATTCCTGTAATTGATTAAGATTGGAACTTTCAAATTCTTGATTTTATTTCAAACACTTAATTCCTCAAAACTCAAGTACAAAATAAATAAATTAAAGGAGTCGTAATTACCTCGAAGTGTTGCTGGATCTTGCGAGGATCGATAGGGTTACCCTGGGCGTCAACACCAGGAGTAATCATATCAGGGCGCTGGTACATGTTTGATAAAAGAAGCGTAGGGCTGACGCTTGGTTTGGTGTGGAGACGAGAACATCGATCACCGTGTCTACACGCTCCGATCTTGAAGTAAAACGGACAGTTCACTCTGTCTTTCTCTGTTCCGAATATCGACGCCAAGTGCTCCGCCATTGATTCGCCGGAAATTCTCTCTCCGTGTGTGCTTCTTTCTTAATGAATTCAATTCGGGTTCTTTTGTTTGCGTTTTCTTGTTTATCTGTCAGAGGAGAAATGCTGCTGCGTGGCGTTAGGGATTTTAAGTTTTTGACCGTAGCGTTTATCTTCAATATTCTGGATGTTTCGGAGGAAATATCAATATGAAAGTAATTAAATAATACTTTACTGTGCACAGCATTAAATGTGGCTGGTTTGCCCGAGAGGTTAAGGGGGAAGACTTAAGATCTTCTGTGCATAAGCACGCGTGGGTTCGAACCCCACAGCCAGCAATTTGGTTATTTTATTTTCTCTTTTGCTGGCATTTTAATTAAAGCAAAATGAGTAATACGCATGTTTAAAAGACTGCGTCTGCCGGGAGTCGAACCCGGGTCTAACGCATGTTTTGAAAGACTGCGTCTTCCGGGAGTCGAACCCGGGTCTATTGCTTGGAAGGCAATTATCCTAACCGTTGGACTACAAACGCACGTTGAGTGGAAGCGCATCGTTTGAGATATCATCAGTGTCGATTTCATAACATGTAAATATAATTGCCATTTTTCACTAAATCTGGTGTAGATCGGTGATCGGACCAAAAAACTATTAATTCATTCACTCGTTGGAGGATGAAACTTCCTTCGTTCAATTTTTTAGGTTATTTTCTTCAACATAAACGATTGATCTCGAGAAGAAAAGAATGTCAGGCCATCTCACCCTCAAAACTATCTAAAATTACACCATGCGGATTAATTTTCTTGCTTTTCTTAAAATTTATTATTTTTTAGGAGTATTTAGAAATATAATAATATTTATTTCTTAAAATATATTTTTATTTAAAAACATATTAAAATAATAATAATTTTAATTTTAATTTTAAAATATTATTTTTAAAATCAGCTCTTCAAGTATGGACTTAATAACCTCATCCAGTCTTTAAAGCTCAAGAGATCCAACTATAGTTAAAGTGATGAAGCCATTTAGTAAATAAATAGACATGAAGCATGGGTTCCATGTTCCAAAAATCATCAGTCTTATTAATTTAAGTTAAGATTTTTAAAATCACGAGTTAATTTATAAAATTATATAAATTTATAAGTTAATACAAGTTAAAGGTATGAAATCGTTTTAAAAACTTGAAAATTGTTAAAATCAAACTAAAATTAATAAAATCATGTAAAATCAGATAAAATCATGATTTTGAAACCAATTTTATAGTTTCACTAAAGTGTATATACCGCACCAAATTCTCACCTCCAAAATCTAGCCTTCCATATTAACACCAATCACCTAGACAACATTTATTCTAGTCTTTTTTTTTTTTTAGTTATTCAACAATCAACCACTACTAATAATCTTATTTTTTTCATCATCGACCATATCTTTTTTTCTAGCCACTGTGAGTTTATAAAGTACTTGGTTTTTAGAATTAAAAAATGATGGTAAAAAATGAGTGTTTAAAAAGATAAAGACAATATTATATATTAATACTACATAATATCTTTTTCATTTTTTCCCTACCTTTTCAAAAATACAATCTAACTATAATTAGAATTGAATTATTGCTCTCCGATTTTTTTTTAGACAACTGTGAAAAATTTTATTCCTTGTACACAATTTAAATTCTAGACCAGAGTTATTGTAGTCCTTATTTTTTGTAGTTTTATAAGCTAGGTGTAACCATCTTAGTATATCAACAAATTATTTATAAATCAAGTTTACATTAGATTTTTTGTGTTGTGTTAAAAATATATTTTTAATAACTTTAATTCAGGTGATGTTTTACCCAATCGGATAAAAAAAAAAGGTCCTCACGTGGAGAGATTAAAAAAAAAAATGCATTACCTTCAATTTGGATCGATTGACAGTTGATGCATGAATTTCTTAATGGATCCATCCACCGGCGCCAATGTCATTGAGTCTTTGGGCTGTTTTGTCACCATTGTCTTTTTTTTCAAGGGTTTTTTTTTCTGTATCATAATTCCCGCGTTATGTTCTGGACTTTGAGTCCATGACGGCTTTATCTCAATCGTACTGCATGTTAAATATGGATTTTCTAATTAAAAATCTTATTTTTATTCATCATATTCATATAAAAAATGGGCCTTCTATACAGTACGTATTAGATATGGATCTGCAGAGACTGCGGTACTTTACTGTAGTTCAGGGCCTTTGTGGGATTACAGTATGGTAGGAGACCTCTTCTGTCTTCTGAAAACTCCCAGCGCCTCCGACCGTTTACTGCAACCGCCAATTGGACTCAGTAATGTTAACGCAAATTGGATCGAGGAAGAAGAAACAACACAGGTGGGTAAACAAGAAATTGATTGCTCATATATAGAGTATGAACAAGATGCTTGAGAATATTTTGGCCTAAAAGAGAGCTGACCCCATTTAGCAGAAAAATGGGGCCTAGTCTCTCATTTTGATTTAGTTTATTTTCGCATTTTAAAAATAATTTTTAAAAAATATAATTATATTTTCAAGCACCCTCTATCCAGCGCTAAGCTTCAAATGGCCATGGCACACAGAGACAACCAAATGAGATGACATTTCAACTAACGGATTTATAATCTCTTAAATCTCGTGGATGTTTGTGTGACTGACAATGGCAGGACATGTGAAAGTTGTTTCTAGATCCTTAACAACTTTAGTGTAACATGATTGAAGAACAATCAAAGAATTTAGACAGATAGAAAGTTGACAATTTATAATCACTTGTTACAGTGGTGAGATATAATGGCTTATGCTACAGTGAAAGAAGAGAGGCAGAGTGCATGTGACACATGGAGGAAATTTCGCCGATTCGGCATTGATTTAGCAGCCAGACATTAGGTTATCGTAGTTTGGTGTTGATATTAAAACACACAGTAGTTCTAACTTTAAGGAACCATGTTACTTCCTTCGGCAAGCTAAGCATAATCGAGTAATCTTTTCGGCACTGCCATGTGCTATAATGTCTTTAAGAGAGAAGGATTACCCCTTTCTATATTGTTTTTTTTTTTTCAGTGGCTAATTTTTAATTCCGTTGCAGGAGAAAAGAGACTTAAGTGAGAAGGGATTTAGGCTCAGACCCCATAAACAGCAGGTGGGAATTTAAAACGCTATGAAGACCAGAGCTCAATATTGTATTCAGTATTATAGAGGGCCAAGTAGAATATGATGCAGCATGGCATAGGTGAAGTTCAAATTAAGCTATGGAACTCGACAATTGAAATGGTTGTCTGGAAATTACTTGGTGTGTGGTACTACTGTGGTAGTTTTTGAAAAAAACATCATAAATTATAGTTAAAAGCAAATCACACCACATAAACAAACGATCCTAGATCTGTTAACATGGAATAGACTTTGAGCACGTCACTTTGTTTATGTAATTTTCTTGTCATTTACGAGAGAACTAGCTATATTCCTGACTGCCCTCTTGAGTAATCATTCAATCCCTAGTCTTCAAGGCTTGCTTTTTCTTGGGCAGACAACTATCATGCGAAGAATTATCGTTTTGTACCATTACTTTCTAAACTTTTCTTTGTTATTATACCAATTGAAAAGGGCACTTCTTTAGCTAGCCACTACATGTCTCAATCAAATACATGATTTTTTCACACAATAATTGGAAAGGAAGATGGCCCGATACGATTGGCTGCTAGTTATCAGCAAAAAAAAGGAGGCTGGTTTCACATTTATACTGCCAATCCAACGTGTGTTGTGTTTCTGTGTGTGGGCATTTTTATCCCTTTGATGTTGGTAGGGACAGGTTCTGAACTGTTAGGATATTAGCAGTTTTGATGGCAGCTTAACTCAATTCATTGGTTTGCATTGGTTAGTCTTTGCCATGCCATGACCATCTAAGATCTGGTAATATTTCCACGCAGTGTCAACTGTCAAATGATTGTTTTTTTAACGAAAATAAATATTTATATGTCAAATAATTGTGAAAATGTAGCAGAAGAGGCATAAATCTTAAACACACCATGACCCTTCCTCGACGAACAAGATTGAGCATACTCCATTCCATGCAAATCCAAATAAATGGGGCAGGAAATGGCCAGTGATGAGGCATTCATCTAGTTGAAAAAAGCTTAGAATTGAAGTTTTTTTAAAATGATTTCTCCTATATATTTAAGTAGTTTCACCCCCAAAATCATAGAAGAACATAAAGAAAAGGGTGGTGATGGCCAAAGGGAGTAATGATCCGAGCACATTGTTTTCTCACGAAAAAGCTCTGAGAACAACTTGCTTTGGAAGTTTCCCTTATTGCTCTCAAATCTCATTTTTATATTGTTTGTGGTTTGCATATAAATTACAGTAATCCTCTGGTTTCTGATCAGAAAGCAGTTAAAATATTAAATATTATAATTGTTTTCTCCATTGCAGACAATTATTGTGCTCCCTCCCTATGCTTTCATTGGTTCAAGTGCCGAAGGATTTAACACGCATAATATCGACACTTCTAGTAGAAGAAAGAGACCAGCATGAAGCATCTTTCAGGTCTGATCATTTGGAGGGTGGTTCCTTAAAGCAAAATTAACCTTGCAAATGAAAAAACAATTTCAAATAAAGCAAGTGGCAAGGAACATGACTCTAGATTGGATGGATTGTGAGAAATAATTCTTGTCACAAGCAACAAATGACTGGCACCAGGCATGGAAAGCATCCATATGGCATGTCTACCTCCTGAAGAAAAAGAAAGAATTAAGAATGATTAAGGAAGATGATTGTAAATCAACATTTTCCAGACGCGAGGAGGACACCTGGAAAGAGCTTAGTGTATGTTTAACTTTCGAGTAAAATAAATTTCAAATTATGATTTCTTTTAGCCAAGTTTTTAATAAAGAATTTGAGGTAATTAATAAAGAATTTGAGGTAAAACTATAATATAAATTAATTAACTAAATACTTTCAGATCTATAATTCAGAGAGTTTTTTGAAGTGTGATGCCATTTGCTTTTTAAAATAATTTTTATTTTAAAATATGCTAAAATAGTATTTTTTTTATTTTTAATATAAACATATCCAAATAATCCGAGATTATCAAAATTATATTAATTTAAAATAAAATAAAATAATTTTTTTTGAAAAACACTCCCCCCGAACACACGATAAAACA